CATCTAATTTATATGCAGTTATCTTTGCTGTTTGCCCCCTATCGTTGATGTTCAGCTAAGGAAATAGACGCAATTCGGACGATTGACATGATCAACGACAGCTCGATGAACTTTTACATAACATTTCATTGAATATTCAACTGATTATTCTGCTCTTCATTGGTTTATATCACCCTCATCTGGATGCATTTCTATGTAATAGACTAACAGAGATAATCACATTTTCTAATAAAAACCAAGAGCAAAAAAGTTCAATGAAATTTTGAGTCGTTTCCTCCCATAAGATTTGTTCGGCTTCAATATTCCATCTGTTACTTCAACTGAATGACTGTAAGTCTTTTTACTTCGCTATTTGGAAACGTTTTCATCCGATCAAAATGTACATAAATTCTCAGTGGGTTCACTCCTATTGAGAGTTTATTGCCGAAGTGAGCAAAGTTGTTCCATTCAAAAGGATCTTATGCTTGAATATCAAGTACATTTGCATGATTTTTGATCGAAATTATCAAATATGTAAGTGCTCGATGGTTCGATGAAAATCCATTGCGGATATTTTTTACCGCTTTAGATAAACTTCGAACTTTTAATTATTTCAAAATTCAAATGATATAATTCATACGCTGCATTTCTTCCGTAAAAAATCGAAATTTCCGGAACGGCAGAGTTCAGCTGACGTTAATACTGAGAGAAAATGGACTTGAAGCATTGCAAATAAGTGTTTGAGAATCAAGAATTTCGTATTCGCATGCAAGTGTACTGTTATTAGCTTAGACCCGAGATGACAAGATGACTTAGCATAGAATATGCAGTATGCCCTTGCGGCATGGTTATTGGCATCATTATATGAAATATTATTTGAATACTTAGTTCCTTGGATTTGTTCAATAATTTGTTGATTTAGCTCCTTTCTGATTAATAATGAACATATTGGTTCGAAAAAATGTATTTAAACATGTCCCGCATCGATATTTCAATAATTATTCGATCCCGGGATTATCCCGGGATCAAAAATCGATCCCGGGATTGGAAAATCATCGAGATTTTGCAAACCCTATTCGTGAGTATTCTTTTTTTCCTTCCCTCCTCAACAGACTTGTATAATTTTAAATAAATCCTCAATTTCTGAACACGAGGCTCTCCTGCTCCAGCCTCCTTCGCATTGGGTTACAAAGGCTATTCGGTATTAAACGCTTCTAAAATCCCCACTATTTAAGCGCAATGCAAAAACATCGTTAACACAGACTATTAACTCAAAACTACCTGAACTTTGCTCAGTATACAAACTTCATGTCGAAAAAATGCTCGATGGGCTGGAAGTAATTGACTTTGCTGCATAATATGTGCAAAAAATCCATTGAGTGCAAAAAAAGCTCTGTAGTCACCGGAATACAAAATGTTAGTCTTTGAGTTGCTCGCTTCATTAGTTGTTGCATCCTATTGCCTATTGCTTTTTAGCTGTCGTACTTGGTCATCAGTTGCTTCTTCGAAAAAGCATTTTTTGAATTGCATAACTTTCATTCAGTTTTGCACGCAGTGAATTTCGTTCATCATTTGTGATACTCAAATTGAACATTTTACATTTCAGCAAGTCTAGCAAAAGCACCTCGTCCCAAATCTTCCTAATTGCATTATGAAACAAATTATTTTGAGAAATGAAAACTAAACGACATTATCCTCAAAATGCAAATGAATAAATGCTCCCAACAACTCCTTCATGGTGTTCATTCATCCTCACAAGGGAAGGTCACGAACTGAACCCAGCGTTTCGGGATGAGATATACATCAAATTGTAGAACTCCTCGAGCTGATTACGAATATGTAAAAAACTTTNTCCCACAACTTCTGTCTTTCTTTGTGGTGACATTTTTATATGTTTTAATGTTTAATGTTTACATGTTTTTACATGTTGTCAGTATGTTCCCAATTCTCTAAACAGTTCAAATCCACGTTCTGTTCATTATTCCTTTCATCAATCTTCATCCCGTCCAACTAAAATTTACGTTCTTCTACGATCTCACATAATGCCGCAAAGTCCAGTTGAATCAAGGTGGATGGAAGATCACTTCTTCTGTCATTCTTCGATGATTTTAAAAGTTTAATTCGACCTCCTTTCAATGAATCAGTACATATTCCTCCAAAAACCAAAAAATAAAATTGCTGAAGCATTATTCCCAATGTATAATTCATCGGATTAATCAATTCAGCAATGAACATAATTGCAACAACTTTATGGTACTTTCATTCGATCATAAAACGATGAAATGACGTTGTCTTAATTCGATGATACTTGCATGATTCTTGGCAGTCTCTTTTTTCATTCATTCACCAACCATTTCCGCTTCATTCAAACGATGCAATTAAATTCCTTCTGAATGCTCATTCTCACTAACGACTGCGATATTCTATTGCTCATCAATGAATTATGGCGATTGCTCGATGAATCATTAAATTTAGAATACGATCAATTAAACAGGCATTAATACGTTAGCGTTTCAACTGATGTATCTTTTTCTGAATACTACTGAATATAGATATCACAGATCCATCAGTCGATTGCACTCGCTCAACAAGTGATATAATGCTCATTTCGTAGCAACTTTTCCTCTTCACCTAACAAGTATTCGTTAATTGCACACTGCGCATTAAACGACGCTCGAAATACTTCTGCAAAGTTGGATGTCACTTCGCAATCCTTGCAATCTGTTGCCGTCAACAGGTTGCAAGGATTATGAAGTGGTTGAATGAATTGATCAAAATACTTCACTCGTGATTTTGAACAGAAATATTTTGGTTGATGTGCATGCAACATAGTCATGCAATAGTGGGTATAGCATGCTCAGTATCGAAACTCCCCATATAACTCTTCCAAATAAACATAATTTTATACTTCTGTCCATGTCATTCAGCACATTCATCCGTCATGAGAAGTTCAATGGAATATGCATGAAAGCATGAAATAATTCGCGGTCGTTTCAGTTCACGAATCCGTCATCCGTGATCTTCATAGGAATTCATCTTTTCATTTGCAAACTCTTTCTCTTTTCAAGTTCATTATCATCCAATCCAAGTACCCTAAGTTTCATCAAAACCATTTGGCAGGGCTGAGAAAGAGACGGTTTTTTGGACGATTAATACCGCCTCGGTGAGCGGGAAATGAGGTAGCGCAAGATCCTGTAAAGTGGAGCCCCGACTACGGATTTTTCGGGAAGCACCGGGAAATCCAGCTGTTCTGTTTCTAACTCTATCATTTAACACAGAATTTCAAAACATTGAGACGAGACATATTAATTTCAACTAATTATTGCAACTATGGATCATATTGTGGTATCAGCATTCCCTATACAGTGAAACTGTAATATGGTTTTATCTAATCAGCTAATTGCTCAGAGTCAGCGCAACTTACAGAACGGCCACAAACAGATTTCTTTTCGTTAAATGAACAAAGCATTCGATGAGCAAGTTGAAAGAAGGTGAAATTAATTGGCGAATGAGTGAACGCTTGTGTGAATTAGGTTCCAGTATGTTTGAATTACATGTCACACATGTATTTAAAACATATTCGAACCTATTTCAATTCTTCTCATGAATGCAAACGCTTTAGTGCCAGTTTTAGGCCGAATCCGATTACAGTTTACTATTATGTCAACGTGGCGTAAAAATATCACAAAATAAGAGTTCATTCCTGAAGAGTTCAGTTTCGTATTTTAGATGAACGTTACAGAGGACGGATGTGGAGATGAGTGCGACATCCCACCAGAGCATCTGTTCAGTGATTTTATCGAGATGACCTACCTCTTATTAGTGATCGTCATCGGTACACCAGCTAACATTTATGTGCTTACAAAACTGTTTCGGGAATTGAGAACCTGTAAGAATGATTCCGTCAAGGTTTGTTGCATGCGCAGTGCGTTTTTATACTGATATTCTTCTCGTGGATACACTAATTCATTTATAATGAATCAGGCTGGAAAAACAGGATTGATGAAGTTCATAGATTTCAAAAAAAAACTTGATGAAATGAAACGGTGGTGATCATAGACTGACAATTTTTATCGGTAAACCGACTAATAAAGACGTTGAAATGCGTCATTAGAAGTTTAAATGAATCATTGCAGAAGTTAATTTTCAGATCGGGTTTTTATTGCTGAAGATTAATTTGAATATATCGGATTTGATCATTTTGATAATATTAGCGGTCGGTAAGTTTTGTTGGCTAGCAACGTATGCATGGAACGGTGGTGATCTGTTGTGTAAACTGTTTAATTTTATGTCGATGTTTGCACTGTATATCAGTTCGAATATTGTTGTTTGTATTGCTTTGGATCGACTGCGTAATGTCGTTACCGCGTCTAAAATCAGGAGACGTCACTCAACGGTACGCTACCAATGTTACACTTGATATTATAGAAATCAGTTCAGTGATATCTTATTTAGTAGACAGATTAAACATGAGAATGAGCAAATGTCAGCCATAATCGATCCTTGCATTCCTTTGATTGACATGCATTCTCAATGAATTATCAAGTCCTTCTGAGAATCATCAATCGAGTATACATGGGATACTTTTCAAAATCTAGCATCTCTTCATCAATTTTACGTTGACCATCTCGAACGGATATTTAGAATTTTGGTTCAGCAAGATATGTGTGTTAATCATAAATTTTGTGAAGCAATNAAAGTCTTTTTCACTAACATATCATCCATCACCTTACAGTTCCACAGCAAGTGAAAATCGTTCATAGGTTTTTGATAGTACTTCTGTTGTAGACTGCAGTTCGTTCGATGATAGTCATTTCGTGGTTACTTTCATTACTGTGGAGTGTACCACAGCTGTGGGTTTGGCGTACACTCAATGTGTATCCAAATTATCCCGGTGGCTGGGTTCAGTGCTCAGACATTTGGTCTATTGAACGCTTCCAAGCATTACACCATCCACTTCAATATATGCATTCTGAACTTACTCAGAACATTTATAATATATCACATCTGGTCAGTTTACTATTCTATCCATCAAATGAGCTCACGTTATAATCGTTCCAGTGAGAGGAAGCGTTTAGGATCCAGAGAAGAAACTGTTTGATCACCACACTACTCAAGTGATTTCAGTGGTCAACTATAAATTATGTTATCGTCGGTTGATTTTTCTCTCAGAGAAAGCGTTTTGTGTAGACAGATTTGTTTCATACCAACTGATTCCAGAATGACTGAATTAATCATCAAAATGTGGCGAAACTAACAGACTGAATGCTTAAAGGTACTCGTTTTCTGGGGTCCACTACTCGTTTTGTTGGTCAGTTACGCGTTTATTGCATTTCGACTTATGCAGTATTCAATTCGTGGGCCACAATGCAGTGTTCGTTTTCGCTCTTCTCTTTAGTCAATGAATTTTCTGAGCATGAACGAATCCATGTGGATAAAACGACTGACAAAAATCTATCTTCTTCATGCATTTAAAACAAGTGATATCCAAAACTTTTTTAGGATAATAGTCGTCTGATTGGATTGCGAACATCATCTCCGAATTTTTCTCAACGGCCTTCGATAATTGTCCAAAGAACTGATTCAACTGAGGCGAATCTTTCGAGGTCTTCACGTCGAAATCAATCCATTCAACTTCAATCCGGTAGCATGCGTAAATCACTTTCCGAAGAATACTTCATAGGTACTCAGTCATATCTCCTATCTCAACACACTTTTTTGTCGAATGAGACGTCTGTTCACAACATAAGTCTTACGATCGCTTTTTAACAAAGCCTCATAAAGCTTCACTTTTCCTAGTATTATGCGAGAAGATCGGATAACTCACGTCATCGATGACTAAAACGTGAACAGTCTGCTAATTACGTTCGAAATTCGATTCCACAAAATCGTTGCTTTTTAATTTTCCAGAGTATGGGTACAAGCAATAATTTAGCTTTCATTCCATTCTCACTGGAATTGTATGCTCAAAAATGTGTTATACTCCTCGGGAGGTCTTCTAATGAGTGTCATTGATTTCAGTTGAATGATAAATATTACTTTACAGCAACTCTAAGCATCACATTTCATTTTCAGACCTAGAGAACAGTGATGTAAGACGCAATTTACCGCTACAAATTGGTGCGAATAATCGTGATATTAGAGCAGCTTCGTCGGTCGGATTCAGGAGGGATCGTAACCAATCGATGGTCACCGTTGACAGCGACTCATTTTGGCCACGGGTTGGGTCGTTAATTCATA